CATGGCCCGAAAGGCCAGCCCACCCAGCGAGGTACAAGGGGGCTAATTCAAAGTACAAAAGTGGCGCCTCACCAGAACCGAGGGATAAACTACTATCGTATTACACTTGCTTATGTGTCTTTCCTCTACGAACTTGTGAATCATGGCTCTCACGAGTCGCGAGGTGAGTAGCTCAAGGAGGTTAACCATTAGCAACACATTTTTACTTATCAACCACAGTTCTCATCTTCAAAGGTGTTAAAAAGGTGTTCGATTGCGTTCTGCAAAATGAGTACAATGCTGTTTCTGGTTATCTTTAGGTGAGGTACGTTTCGTCAGCATCCTACAGTAATTTGTCAGTTACGCTTCAATTTTTACCAAAGCAGTTTTGAAACTTGTCTTAGATTTCCACATCGCTGTACATCTTAATCTGCCTCTATAGTAAATTTACATCTCGCATGTGCGAAAAATTTAATTTGATAGACTGTAATTTACATGCAAGTTTTAGGGTTATCCACTGTGGTACTTTGTGAGAGGCAATTTCGAAAGTTCTGCATCTTCGGGAAGTGATGCAGTCTCCACGTCTTCTTCACTGCCTGCAAAGTTGTGATGGCCCTTATGAATGGATTGGTTTCTTGAAGGCTCTGCCCAATTTCCACCAACGAATTCTCATTTCAGTGTATGGGGTGGAAAATGTTAACGTTAATATTTTACAGTAGAAATAATTTGAATGCAGCTAAATATCCCTTTTTGAATAACCACTTATGCAATCAGGATTTCGAACTATTTGCTAATACCTAAAAATGAATAATACTAGCATTTTTCAATAGCTGTACTTCACGAATCCTCCCATGTAAAACATATTTGTACGAATATACCTTTCAGGTGACAAGCAGTGAATTAACACCAAACTTTTGGCTGGGCGGATCTCACCGATCTCCAAGAATGGGGCGAACTCATCTATATACTCATCCATAATACGCAAATATAGGATGCCTTCCTCTACTCAATCATCCCAATCTGAAGTCGGAGGTGGGAAAGGGAAACAGTGAAAGTATTACACTATAATAATGCAATTTCAGTTTCGCGAAAGTGATCTCACCACCGTTTTTTCTCAAGTTCGCCCACCACTTCTAATTGAATGAATAAATTTACGTTTCAATGGAAAAGGGGTCATCCTGGCTTCTGCTTGGTAATCGTGATGCTGTTTTGCGGCACAAAAGCAGATTTTGGAGAGCTACAAGTTATTAAGTCAAGTTCAATGGCCTAGAGCTGTGTTTCATCTTGACCTCAACCCAGCAGAGCTTGCAAAACACCAGCACAGTTGTCTGTGTCTAACACCAACTCACTGTTAAAAGTGTGCTAGCATTTGCGGGGCCGGTCAAAACACAAATATTCTATCCACATATACATGCCCATCCACAAAACAGGGCTGACAGTTAATGTTTACCAGTGACTACTTTTTTTGTCATACTGATCCGGTGCGTAATCACGCTATTTTATGTGGAAGCAGTCGGGGATCTTGTCTACGGAAACAGAGAGTACTACTTACAAATCCACTTTATGCTTCCAAAAATAGACGCATACTTCCACATAAAACCTAAAGTGTTCCTCTGATTGCCTTATCCTTCTATTGTGCCTTGTTTATATGAACGGATTTCAAAGTACTTTTTAACCACCTTATCGTTGTAAATTTGCACTATAGCGGCGTGATCTCAGCGATGGGTAGATCAACCATGACTGGGAATGGTGACGGTATTGTAATTTTAAGTTAGGAATTGTAACACGTTGGCTGTTTAACGCTCGTTTTTAGCAAAGGGGCCACTTTAGGCCTGCGCCATTGTACCTTCGCTGGGTGGGCTTGGCCCTGAACCACACCAGTGGCTCCAGTCCTTTCACAAGTTGACAATACGAATTGTACCCGAGTATTATATCTTCCCTCGTCTTCAGGAAAGTCTTGGAGTGGCGGCGAAAAGCAACTCCTCTCTTAAAGGACATCTAATCTGATTTCCATTGCTGCGTGATAAGCCCTAGCGAGGCGGAAGAAGTACATCTGTGACGATCCATCGCAAAAGGGCTGGAAATGACGTTTGCCTTTGGCGATTTCCCCGGTTCCGCGTTCTGTAGGAAGGTTATTAACAAAGAAAGTGGTACTGGCCATGAACGGTCTAGAAAAGTTTTGCTACAGAGCTGCCCACTGTGCCTGAATGAAGGATAATCGCTTCTTGTTTTCCCATCGAAGTAATGGCTTAATGGGCAACACCCGGTGAGACAAAAGGAAATCTGATTTACATAAACACCCTGTTAATCGAAATCTTTTCAATTATTTCAATGTTGATTTGTGTTTATAGCCTAAATAAGGCTTACCTTAAAGGAATATACAAGATTAATTTTATTTTGTCCTTTTTTGAAGATACTATAAATGTAATTACATAACTACATGGTGGCAATGGTACCGGGGCGCTTAGAGTTTCATCTATTTCTTCTAAACTGGGTAAATGTTTAGAAATTTCCAGAAACGATTTGATGACTTCAATTGTTGATTCGAAAAAATGGCATTTCAGACTTCCGACAACACTATCCAATATATTTATGACAATAAAAATGATGCGCTAATTCATGTAAACGAGCATCTTTGATTCAAAACACGGCTGAGTTATGCGTGACAGGATTTGTCTTCAAAATATGCACTTGGACAGGGAATTTACATGGCAGACAAATGACTTCCGGTGCATAGAGATCACCGGAATAAGGGAATGATCTACACTTACGACGAACAATTAGTTCCCCTTATTCCAATACAGGAGCTTGGAGTTGAAATTAAACTGGAAGTGTGGATTCAGGGAGATGGGAAGGTTCAAGACTACCATAAATCAGAGCAAGGAGTGCAGAGAAAATCGAAAGATTTACTTACCAGAGTCGCACAGTTTTACATGTTACAAAAGTGGCTAAGATCATGTAGACGAGGTTGAATAACGGTGGGTTGAGCATCACTTGTCTAGACGCAAGTATCAACCTTCTTCATGGCCACGCATGCAAATGGGATCGTGATCCCACAGTAGTGCATTTCATGTTGACGCCTTTTTACGCAAAAACGGAACGGTATTTCTCTAGCTGATGATGCTACCCTTCATACTATACTTTTCGCCTTTTAAAAAAGAAATTAATCAAATGGGTCCTAAGAAAGCTAAATTTATTCATGCTTTCAGTACAGAGCACTAGATTAATGAAAACCATCTTAATTTAGTGGGAAATGCCGTGACTCGGGGGTTATTTTCACATTTATTACGGTTCATTCTACTGTGTTCAGGTAACTTCACCAACAATAATTGCTTAAAATGTCTGATCATTCTATAAAACCATGTTAAACGGGTTGTCAAATTTTTGGTAGCTGCAATCTCTACATACAGAAAACTACTGCTCATTAAGTAATTCAAACTTTTATTCTGGAGAAAATTTAACTAACACGCGAGTGACTAGATCAAATATAAGAGAAGCTGTGCAAATGGACCAAGGACCAAGGTTGTTACGATACTGTACAAGCGGAAGCTCCTTTTAAAGATTTGTAGTTCTTGCTCATTCATGCAACGCAGTCATCTCATCATCTCAAAAGCTCGTAGCATTTGCATTCCTAAAGTGCCTTTTTTCTCGCTAACCGCTCCAACTTTCCTGAAATTCCCCATAAAATTTGCGAATTCCTAAATACCTAATTCCTGCTAAAGTAGGAGAGTGTTCGGCTTCAAAGCTATGCTGGTCTCCATGAAATAGTCTTTTATAGAGAAGTGCATGATGGGTGCTTTGCTTTCTCACCAGAAATTACACAGTATACAACTGTCAACTCTTCCACCCATTTCTGAAAGTTGCTGATTTTTAATTACTCCTGATTGCACAACTATCGTTAACTTTAATAAAAAGTACGATGAAATCCAGGTTTAACACTTTGTGCTGTCGTAGGGGTTGAACGAAAAATGTTATCATATTTAAAAATACTAGGATCACCCAGCCCAATTTAATGATTAGTGGGACAAAATTTCACTTCCATCGTGTTAAAATGGAACTTTAATGATCACTAACAACTTTTTGGGTGGATTCAAACTATGGTAAAGAGTATAACGGATTGAATAAAGCAATCATAATGGAGGCAAAATTTCCCCACAAAAAGGTATCTTTGTTCGTTAGGAGTAAAGTGTTAGGTGAATAATCACCATCAAATTTTATTTAAATTCGGATAGAGAGAGGGGAACTTCAGTTTTTATTTGTAAGCATCTGAATTCTGGAGTGTCTAGAGCTGCAATTACTGTTTCCATCCTCCAAGACCGTTTTGATTGGTACATTTTAAAAAAATTCGCAAGCATATCGGAGCACGTAGCGGCTTGCATTCACCTTTAGTTCGGCACAATGAAGTGTAATTGGGAGCAAGTAGAGACGGCTTTAAGTTAGCCTTTAAGTCAAAAGATAAGGCAATGAAATTCTGACTTTAGGCCAAAGTAAGGGATCAAAAGATCAGTGAATATTCAGGACTCACAAAGCGCAGACATGATTCTACATGACGTCTTTTGGTACAGCTAGTGTAAAAGAATCCATAAATAACCCCTCAAGATTGCATCGCATATACCTTCGAGCTTTGTCAATAGCTTTACTAAGCCTAAGATACGGTAGAGCAGACCAAGCAAGCTGATAGCTGATAACCAGTTCATGCAGTGCTCTGGAAATTGTTTAGAAGCTTTGATTTAAGCAAGCAGATATAAGAGTAAAAAAAGTAGTATACTTGAAATGCAACACCACATTTAATCATCCCTCCCAAACTGAAGCATAAGTAAACACACAAATTGATACACAAAATTTTCAAACGAATATTAAAAAGATGCTTAAGATTTATCCCCAACTTTAAAAACGTATAATAAACGTGGTGAGAAGAGTGAAAATCCCAAAAAAGATGTTTGTAGTGTTTCATAAGGTGTTAAACAATTAGTCAAACCCAATGACTTAGTCTAAGATGTGTACATTGGGCGTCACATTGATCACAAATCACTTTCGTCATCATAAAAATCCAAAAAGTTAATAGACTGTTCTTTGGTTACCACACCATTTGGTGTGAAATTGTACTTTGAGTAGGTGCCTTCCGATGCAAGGACTAAAAGAATAAGACAGAAATACATTGGCTACTTAATTTGGGGAAAAAGTAGAAGAATAAGGGCGATGTTTTTCATCGCTCTTGATCTCACCAATCAAGGTATCTGGATTGGATGGACTAAATGCACAGATGACTTTGAATTTGGTATTCAATGAGAAGCGTACATGACTGAAGGTGGAGAAGAAGTATCGCGGTAATAGGCTAGCCGATCTAGAGGCAGGAGAGAAAAAAGTTCGAAATTAATGTTACGTGAAATATCCATCAAAATCCCTGTGTAAAACTTTAACTCATCACATTACACAAGAACACAATAATCCCCAAACAAAAGGATTTGCAGAGCTTGCAACCGTGTTGTTACTTATCAAGGATACTTAAGCTTTATGGAAACTTACGAAGACAAAAAGAGCGATTCACTGGATGTGGCTGACACCATCCATGCTTTTGTGGTAAGTTCAACGATACCACAGAAGGGGAAGGTTATCTGTTATGCGTCAAACTGCATCGTGCTTAATCTTCAAATTCAGTGAAAAATAGGGCGAATCCACCGAACAATGTGGGAAAAGTGGCGCAAAAGAGCAGAACCATAAAGATGGTCAGCAGAATGCCTAAGAGAAGACTCAATGCTAAAATTATGCATGACAAAGAATAACAGAATGGAAATGTACCTCTAACGTAGATAGATTTGAAAAAGTATCACGAAGAATCCAGGCAGGCAATTTGGAATCATCAAAATAGGTAGTTGGAAGGAGCGACTAGGAAGACGTTAAAAAATATTTTCCAGTGCCATTGAAATCAAATTGAAACTTGCAATTCTGATGAAATGCTATTCTGGAGCTAAAATGTGCTGAACCCAAGGGAAGAAAATAACGTATGAGCCAACTCGACTTCCATATAGCACATTATTAATGTCGAGGTCAAATTTCCTCTAAATATAATAAAATACGCGACACAAGGTTACCGACACAGAGAAGCTGTGCATCCAAACAATCGTCTAAATGAATTGTTAAATGACTCCTTAGTCCACCTCATTGTCATATTCTCAATGGGTGATCATACCACTAAATGGAAGCTGCTTAAAGATAGACTTCTTAAAAGTCCCCGGGGGTCACGTGGACTTGACATTCAGAATAAATTGTTCGGAATCCAATTAGACAAGGAAGAGAGCCTCAGATCAAAGGAGACTCCTCATGAATCCAACCGACGAATTCAATGGCGCAAATAACTCGACTCAGGGTTTGTAAGGATAATTTAAATTCCAGTCTAGGACATAAGGAGCATAATCAGCGGCATTTTTAGAATGAACTCCACTAAAGCGAAAACCACAAAGCATATCATTTGCAAAAAAACGCTGCGGGAAATGAGAGATGCAAGCTTTCAAAGGAAAAGATTGAAGCTATCTCGATTTTAAATGTCATATGATTTCAGGCTTAAACAATCATGCATATGGAGTGCGTACGGTATGTAGTAGAAGTTTCAAATCAAATTTAACCATACAAATTTCTCAGAATTTTATTGTTCACATCTTGAGACCATTAAAAAAAGACAAATTTAGCAATTCTTGAATTTGCAAAGTAACAACCAAGTAAATCACTCCGACAATCTAACATCCAATGAACAGATGAGATAAAGCCAATTACCATGAGTTAGACTCAGTTCATAACAAAAAAATCTTACGCGAAACAATCACAAGTAACAGGCACACACAAACATTTGTGCCCGGTGTCTGTATGACGTTTTTCCCATTTAAAAGTAAGTTATCCTAAAGTAGATATCGTGGGTTCATTAGGGTGCAACATTTCTTTCCTAGAGGCCAAAAAAATCGGCAAATCTTAGGCCGAAATTTTGCTAATATGCTAGGAAGTATACAATTATTATTCTGATAGAATAACTAGACAACCGTAAGAAACTTATAAGGCGCAATATCCACTCTCTTGGTTTTCCCCGATTTTCAAGCATGAAGAACACCACAGTCGCACATGAGCATGCGCAGCAAATGGGAGTTCGTGCACTGGAGACCCTACTGACAGAAGGTAATGGACTTATAAGGCGCTCGCTAGGATACAATAGAGTTAAATTAAGGTAGACGAAGGGATAATTAGCAATAAAGGACCAAAAAATATTCATTTTAGAAGTCTTGTTAGACCGTTAGGTCTCAAACATACAGTAAACATTTGAGAAACGACCACAATTAAGTTCATTACCAGTAATCGGTTACGGTTGTTAAATTGATAGCATTTCCCGTAGAGAAAACGAAGAAGAACAGAGACTATAAAATACCAGTCATTCCATCCCGAAGACTCCAAGTCTTAATCACATAGTCTTAATGACATACCATTTAAACATAAATGGTGTAGGATTGTGCTTCCAAAGTGATGAACTAATTCCCTTGGCAATTTGCAGAAGTAGAGAACTCATATAACAACGTATCAAGTCTTGGGCGACTGACAAATAGAAATGCTCATAAAAAAACGAAAAACTACTAAGCCTCAGCAACCAGGTGAGACAGTAAGTTAAAAGCAGATTTATCACTTTAGTCAATCAGCATATTAGGCCTCGACAACAATATGCTTGCTCCTGACTACCTACTCAACGGCTTAGCCACTAGTAGGGGTTATGAATTTCAGAATCAACAGGCTAGAAGAAATTGGATAATTGTTTGATCTATATTTCGGAAGACCCCATTTTACTCCTTAAGAAATAAAACATTTACACGCCACTCATTCAAGGGCTACGCCACCATCAATAAGGCGCAGAGTATACATCGGAAACCACTGATTTCATGTATAAAACGCTTTTGCTTACTGCATCCTAAAATCAGCAGTCGATAGACCGTTCGCACTAATTTGTTGGATTCAATGCTCACAATTAATAGAATAATTCCACCAGCGGAAAGGTCGCAAAGATATCAAGCGAATTTGACGATTGCAGTTTGGGAGCGTAATGGGAGATTAAACAACATTAAGGCTTCAGAGAAAGCTGAAAGAACTCACCGGCCAGCCTGAGCCGCTTGACGTGTAAAATCCTGACCCAGGGGCGGACGCCTCGAGCTGGCCGCACCACTTCCGCCACCACCACCGACACCGCCAGCGGACCAGGACGTCCCCTTCTCAAGAGGGTCGAGGAAGAAGATGTGAAGGGTACCATGATCGCTGGCGACGGCCAGACGACGTGTAGTGAAGGCGGTGGCATGGTCGAAGGCTATACAGGTGATAAATGCGGCGTTTGAGCCCCGACGCAGCTCGTAGAGGAGGTCACAGGAACGGGTGTCGAAGACGCGGACGAGGGTACCACGCTGAGAAGCAGTGGCCAGTTGTTCTCCATCCGCGCTCATCGTCAGTGCTACCAGTTGATTTTGATGAGCCGACACATGATGTGGTGGTGGCGCCGTCGTTGTTGATGCAGTCAGTGGTGATGTAACTAGTGTCACCATACCCACACGCCGACCGGGGAAAGCGATAATGGGATTCTCGGGATTCTGACAGACGTGACAGAGACCTTGGGGATTTGACGCTGTCTCCGCCTGGTAGAGAAGCTCTGGACATGAACCGAAGGTGTAGATCTTTACTGCGTTCACGAAAACCACAACGATTCTGGATTTGAACGGAGTCATCAGTAAGGTAATGTCACAATTTCAAAGGAAACTAAGCTCTTAATTGCTGAAAAACATAGAAATTACAGTTAGCATATCTGCACTTAAAACTGGCCACTGAATGTGCAATCTTCGACGAAAATCAAATAGGGAAATAGAAGTGTACTCAACAAGAGACTTTGCCCTTTCACCGATTGGGTTTCAAGCAGGAGTTCAGAGAAATTAAAAAATGTGGGGAAAACCAATCAATGCGCATCTACTTTCCAGCACCTTAATGTGTTTATTAAATAAAAGTCAATGAATGATATGCCACAGCCATATAACTCACAGATCTTTGCGAAGTCTAACGGCACGAACATCACTTCCATAGGTGAGTTCAAGAGTAACTTTTTGTTCAACACCATCCCACACCCAGGCGGTGTTGTTGGGTATCATTGACTGACGTCCCCCGCCAAGAAGACCGAGAAAGCTGCTGCGGAGAAGCATTTCAACAAAACCAACCCCAGAGCCCTCACAAGTGTTGAATTCTAGAGGGGTTAATGAAAAATTGGAAGCATTGAAGAATGCCCAGCGAAGGTGACACGATACTGAGAGTAAAGTGATGAGCATTCATCAGTCCTGAAAGTTGAATGCGCGTAAACTTACCACAATTTTCAAGCTGTTTTAGTGGGTCGGTATTATATATTCGAAAGCCATTTTGCAAGCCGACTGAAAAACATCCTAGAGAGAGCTCACATGAGTATAAGTAACTAACCATAGTCCTGATTGAAGCCTATGAATGTTATTGAACTATTTCCGCTTTCACAGGGTAGAACGCGAATAGACATTGGTCGCACACTGAAATACAACACCTCAACGCTTTAAATGAACGCGCTATACTTATAGTCTGGAAAACAGTAAAAGTGCTGAAGATAACTAAGCTTTGTAATTCAAAGAAAAAGATGTTTAGAACTTGTCCGTATTTTACAAATTAAAGCGGGGTAAAATGAATTGAAAGATATTTCTATTTGAAATACTGCCTGGGTTTTCCTTGAATCCTGACAGGTTTGTGTGATAAGACGCTAATACGTTGTTTGTTTGTCTAATTTCCAGCTTTGATGTAGAACCACTTTTGACTTGGCTACTATATTATACCAGGTGGGCTGGTCTTCAGGCCATGCCAGTAACCCAAATAACTTCTGGAAGTCTCGAGGCGCTACAAGACTGGCATCAAAATCACTAAATTCAAAAAAGCTTCTTCAGTACTGTGATTAGGCCAAAAAATTGTAACCTTTGTTGTTCTGTTTGCATTTTTCTCATAATCGCACACACGGCACTTCGCTAAGACAATGCTTTCTGCTTCAAATTTGGTTCTGGCTCCCATATTTGCACCAAAACTCTTAAAATATTATCACCGATCCAAAAATAGATAATCTCCGACGCTGAAATCTTAGCGCAAAAAAATAGACATTAGCATTGTGAAGCCAGACGCATCGGTCTCCGATTTCCTATTCCTTACGTTCTTAGACAAGCCCGGTTGATTCGCTTTGGACATCTTTATTAAAGGTGACAAGATGGTGAGGGAAAATACAGTGTTCAAGAAGGAGAGGAGCTGTAGTCACTAGGTACGGGGGAAGACAATCTGACCACGAGATTCCAATTTTCTGCTTGCCTCCTCACTGAAAGGTCTATTAAAACAACATAAGTATTGCATCATTATCTTACAGAGAAAGTCATTTTCTCCCCTTTTTTAGTTACCAAAGCAATCATAGTAAGTATTTCAGCACACTAAGACGCAACTGATTCCTGCAAGTCTGTCTTCCACCCAAAACCAACTGTAGAAGCATTCACTCCCCCCCTTCACCAACACATCACTTACGCATCGCCAGAAACCAATGTCTAGTTCTATATTTCTGCAGGAGTTGAGTTGCACTGCTAACTACCTTGACTGAAATAATCTGTGTACCATTTTTAGGTAACCGGATAAATTAACGTAGAAAAATATAAACCATTGCGCTCACGTCAAAGGGAATTTCATATCCACTGTACTTGTGCACAACATCCATTCGCTTCAAAACGACCACCTCGTATTAGTAAGATACTTTTTTCGTAAAAAAATCAAGTTCAAAATGAATATAAGACATGAAGTTTTAACTGAATACCCTTGGAGTATGATGCACTAATCACAGTCTGGCTTGCTACCCTGTGGGCGTTTGTTTTTTTTTTCTGTAAGGCAAAAGAAGAGATCATAATATGTGATATATCAGAGCGAGATTGAACCTAACCTTCCACTTACCCAACCCAGTAACTAGATTATCCAGCTGTACAACCCTCTTCTCCATATCGCTCACATTCTCCAATATTTTATCAAGCATTTCCAAATGCTTAGCTAACACTAAACCTAAAATGAAAGGAAAATGAGGTCAGGTTTCTATTCAGATGATACGTCTTACCTTCGGTTCATCACTAAAATTGCTACGTGAGTGAATTTAAATGGCGAAGACCGTTCTGAATCATGTTAATCATAAGGTCCAAGTAAGGTGAAAATACTTGCATTGCTCATTGACTGGGATCATCTTTTCCTTGAAAGATTTAGTAGCCTCTGCAATCTTCATATACTTATTGTAAGCTGCTGTGTTGAGATCATTAAGGTGAGATATCCTATCGGCATTTACTACAAAAAAGCATGGAAAAAGAAACGTCGTGTTGAACTAATATTGCAGTAGGTTAACCACTGATAAATAGGGCTGTCTTAGAAGGTAGTGTCGATTATATCAAGGAATTATTGAACCTGTAAAATGTTGGAAAGAGTAGTGATGAGAAAGCAAACAACTTTAACCATGACGGTGACTTCGCAATTGTGTAATGCATCACTCTAGGTAAATTTAAGGCATCTTAAGGTATTTCGGAATCTCGATTACTAGTGATAAGTATACAGAATAAATTTAGTGAACTGCAGCATCGTAAGTTTTTGCCAGCTTTCAATGGATAGGTCTTTACGGGTTAGACAACCAACGAAGTGGACCGTATGGGTTCATGGTAAATTGGTGTTTTTGTCCAACTCAGAATGTAAGCCCAAGTGTCCATTTTGGTTAAAGTATAACAGAAAGAGGTGTAATTTGATCAAAGCAGAGATGATTTTAAATACATCAAGAAAAGGGTACAAAAGTGCTTGCCGGAAAGTGCCCTTTGAATGTAGTCAGAGAGAGCCGCGGTGGCCCTATTAGAGGCACTGAACACACATTCACGATCCCCTGCACCCATCTCCGGTTTGGTCATTTCCATGAACCCAAAAAACCTGAAATTGAATGCTACAAGAGCAAATAATCTCATCCGGTAGAAGGAAAACTATTGCATTTGACATTGATGGTAAAAAAGTTTAACCGCGCATCGTAAGATCGGCAATTTGCCACTTCCTGATGCCTCACTGAGTTATTCTACATATTTGATTTTAGATTAAAAAGCTGCCATTGTTATGCCATAAATAGGGGCCAGTATAAAACAGCATTTTTTGGAAATAGGTTGAGAACTCGCATAAAGTGGTAGAAGAATCTGAAGCTTTCGAATGGATAAAAGATTGATCAGCAATCGTAATAAAACCGGGTAAAGATTATGTGCCACGGTCATCGGTGCATGTTGAGCAGCAAGAGAATTAGACAGCCTTCTTTCATCCACCTTGACGGATTAATTGCAGATTATCCGAAATTACGTTCAAACGGTTTTAGCTAATAGCCCTCTGGTTCAGATGAGTAAGAAAGTCTTGAGAAGGTGAGGTAGGTAACGTCAGGTGTTACCCGAACCACCAGCTATGAATATTTTCCGTGAAAACCCAATTTCAAACTGTTTCGAATCCCACTACGAAACTTCATTTCAACAACTTTACCAAATGCACTTAATTAACAGGATTCCTTTGAGTGTTAGTACAGCCTGTATAAACAACTCAACAGCTTGTAGTGCTAGTTTTTTTCAGTAAGCTGACCGTTTTTAAAGTAAAACGGCTCAGTTACGCATGATTGCAAAAACACATTTACTTCAACTTCCGTTGTTTTGATGCTATGCAAAGTAAATGACACATTTGCAAGGGTTGAGCTACTAGAACCACAAACCCCAACTAACAAGCTGCACACGATATTAAGATGGCTTTTTAGGGCATGATTTCGTATTCTTGAACGGTATATTTGAATTATCTACGGCTTTACGAAAAGAATTCAAAAAATATCTATAGCTTAGAGTTTGAGTGACAATGCACATTTACGATGCGACAGAAATCGTGAAGGCCGAAATTTCATTGCAACTGGAGCGGAATGTAGCATCCTTAAGGACACAACAAAGTAAAAAAAAAAACGGAAAAGTACTTTTACAGGTTTCTTCACAAAGTAATTTGTACAAAGAGATGGTTTGGAAAGTAGGAGGGGTCTATTTAGGTTCGTGCGATGAGGCCTCGGTGGTGGCGGTGCTTGGCGTAGATTCGACCCAAGGTTGTGCCTCTCCATCCTCCCGCGGTTTGCCTCCTTCCACTTCCTCCGTCTCTGTGTTCTCACTTTCCGCCGCCATTGCCTGTTGGCTAAGCCTTGTCAAAGCTGCAGTTATTAGGGAATCGGATTGGCCGGGATTAACCTTTTCGTATTCTTCCTAAAATATGAACAGCCAAACAGGGGTTCGATTATCAATGTGTATTAAGGGTAAAACGTCTATTTACTGAACAAACGGTCCGATTAACGTCAATTACTCCGTTTAATTCGCTATATTTCCTAAAAACGCAAAAGACGCCACTACGTCTAGCTTTTAAGTGTTAGCGCTACGAAAATCAAAATTTCTTTTTCTCGTACTTTATTCTCAAAACTCTAGGAACATTCACGTCTAATGTTCCCGTTGCCCCTCTCCTCACTGGACAAAATCTCGTAGGAATGCACTATAGGTGTTAAAACTTCCCCTATCCATGAGGTCAATCGTGAAGGAAAATGAACCAGATGCGGAACCCTTCGTGTGCTTCGAGGGCATACGTAGTATAGCGTACCCTAAACTAAAGCAGTAGATGCTTTTACTCCAAATTCTTTACCTTCTTGAGGCTTTTGGTTGGAAACTCAACCAGCTAGCGACGAGCACTAACCTCAGCAGCCGTTTCTTTCAAGCATTTTTTTTCATAACTTCATTATGGAGAACTTCTGAACAAACATGCAACACTTAACCTCTCTTTGGATAAATTGTAATAATAAAATACTCTATTTTCGAAACGAGTTCAGGGTATGCCTTACAACCAAAAAGGGAGGATACTGCCAATTTTATAGCACCCATTCATAGAAACCTTAATAGTGGGTACATTTAACGCAGAACATAACGATCAATGGGGAGATCTCATGAAAGTTTTGCAACCAATATACATCAGGAATGTTTACCGTGAAAAAAGGTTTAAGCTTTATAAGGTTATACATTCGTTAAGCCTAAAAAATGACTTCCTATATACTTCATTCATAAAATCATCCTAGTAGACATGCAGATCAACAGTGAATCTGAAAGGGAATAAGCACTACATTTGATCAAAATTTGACCTAGAAGAACAGAAAACGTAGCCGGTAGTACGAACACCTCGCAAGCAAATTTCTAACGAATGAATGGGAACGGGATTACTAATACGCATTTAATATGTGAATCATGAGGGCACATCCTGAATAGGCTTAAATAGGATCAGAATGAGGTGACCGTTAATGCTTTACTCAGACACTTTTGAAGAATTTTCTAACCAAGATAAAGTAGAACAGGCCTTTCTGTAGGTGCTTTAGCAACTTCCAAATGGCTGACTGAAATAACTTCATACTTTAAGGACATTGACGAGTGACTCAGCTTTGTTCAGCTGCTTTTTCAAGGTAAAGAGACTGCTTTGAACCCCATCCAGATCTGTCGAAGATTCTTGAAGGACTGCATTAAGTTCTATAAAAAGCGGGAGAACATTGATAAAGCAACGACAAAAGTCTTAAACATTCAGCCCTTAAGCAAAATATCATAACTGTCTCAAAAACAAACTTGGTGAGATCGAAAATGACCTCAGATATTCATGACTATAAATATTAATTCCATAGACATGCAATGCAAAGACTGTTTTAAATAGCAAATGAATTCGCAATGCTCCGATCCCAGTAGACAAGCAAAGCGCTTCTAGCACATTGTTTCGGAACAAGAAATCGTTACATTCAAGGTGTCAATCTACTGAAAAACTGGTTTGAATACAAGTGGATGCATCAAGCGATCCATTTTTGTTCGGTAAACAAAAGCATTTAGACGCAGAGAACCACTACATGCACGACTTCAAAGTTGTCTTCATCTAATGCAATGATTCGGTAACTTTTTAGTTCTTCAACCATAAAGGCAGCCAGAAACAGCCGAGACAACTAGATACATTTACTGTTAATTGCCTGAATGATATTAACACCGTCGCCGCGATTGAGACAGCAGGACAGGCCGATATGATAAGCTCCCACACGAGGTAAATTGAAGGGTCAAATGTGTGGAAGAAACAAGATACATATCTGAACCAACCTTGAGCAGTTTTCATGTACTCCAGGATGCACGAAACCTGCACCTGCGTTTCGGATTCCAAGGCCGCGAGGCGATCCATCTGATTGATGGCTCCCAGGTGCTTATTCTGTTCCAAAAGCTGCCGCATGCATGCCATAAGGCGTTTCCCTGATGCACTTTCGAAAAGAGTAAGAGGAAAACGGCAACCCAAGATGAGGCCGTCACACCCTTAACACCCGAAAAAGCTCATGCAAATCTCATTTAGGAAGGAACTTATGGCATTCTCTAACAACTTATTTGGCTGTAGGAGGCTTCGTAAGGAGAAGTTAGCGCTAAAAACAAACTTAAAAGTAAACGATTTGGAAAGTATAAAATGGTCAAATCAACGATGATCGAGTTAAAGCCTTCATTATGCTCCTGAAGGCGGCAAACGAAATCGTGGTCGAAGGTGGTCGATCATCGTTTGATAATTAGATGGTATGAGATAATGGTTAACAAGGAGGGATTGCATGGCTTAAAAGTCATAACTAGGGTAAAGGTGTCGTTTCAGCATCATTTGGTCAAGCCATTTACCCTCTGTTGCTTTTAGACTAAATCTCATTTATAAAACCTAACGGTGATAGAACACCGACCGCGTCGAATTCTAACGTCAATACCCAAGCAAATTTGAAGCTACACACTCAACTTTGTTAAATTTTATGGACACAGGTTGAAACTTTCATGAGGTTCGTTTTAAGGACCAAAGTTGCTTGCCTGAACAGAAAAAAACACTTTTTTGGGGAGAATGAGTTATCCAAGCAGGAAGATATTTTGATGAGCACTGTGGTAGTGTTAAGACCCCTTCTTCAAGCTTTCAAGTGAGCCACGACGTATATCAGTGTGCACCGAAGAAATTTCAAAAATTATTCCGGATATACAAACCATAAAGTTGCTTCAAAAAGGCGCGTAATGAGAACGCGATCTCGCCTAAGTATTTGGTGGTGAAATCACAGGTGAATGAAAGACTACTACGATGCCTTTCATGTGTCTCCAGAAAAAAAAATTTGAAATTGCATTTTGCGTTGAGACGCTCAAGTTGGTATTACTATCTAATTAGAACGAATAAAATTCGTCTACCAACAAATTCACGGTAAAACAGAACATTAGCAGTCGATTAGTGAGCATGAAGAAAAATCACAATTAATACGCGGGAGGAAAGGGAAAAATACCTGTCAGGAGTAAACTTCCAAGCAATGAGATCATCATAACTCTGTTGGAGACGCATTTTACCCGACTGTGCGGCTTCGCAAGCCTTCTGATACACGAAATCAATGGCAGGGTCGAGAACATTTAGTCGATGGATTAGTTCTTTGACTTGCACGGATCCTACCGCCTCCCCATAATCATCGGCAGGATCATCCGCGCCATCGTAATCAAACTCAGAACCAGATGATTTTCGGCGCAGTTTGCTGGGCTGTAAAAGTGGCAGCAAATACAAATACGTGTGGATCAAAAGAAAAAAAACCTTATTTCCCTATCAGCAGAGGATAATAACCTACCAAGACCGACAAGACATGAGCCAACCGAACGTTACTAACAATGAAACGTCGAATCACATCTGTCTCTCTCCTAGACAAGTCCTCTTCCTGCGCCTTTTGTTTCTCAACTAAAGCACCGAATAAGCAGTCAAAGATTGGAACCGTACAAAGTCCAGATACCAAAACTTATCTTGGATGAGAGGGCTTAGATTTTGCAATCCAAATTAGCAAAACGAAAATGGTTTAAAAACATACTTAGCCTCTCATTCTCTTCTTCAATCTTTTTGAGTTTCAATTCCAACTGCTTGATGGTAATAGTTTGTTCTTCGGCCCTAGGAATAATTCAAGGAAAAGAAGGTGCTTACAAAAGCTCCATGCTAGCAAGTGAGTTTTTTGGCTGCGCTGAGGCTTCATTTGCCGTCATAGTTTGAGGTAAACGAAGATATTGCCCCAATTACTTCAACCGATATGCTAGTGATGTCTAAATGCTCAAGAATACTAATGATATGTAGGAAAAAAGGGACACATCATTGCTTAGAACTCGCCTGCTGTAACTTAGGGAAGGTAAAAAACTAACCGTAGCGACACACCTAACTCAGAGCTTTTGGTTTCAAAACACACAAGACCTCGGCTTTTTACTTGCCAATTTCGAACACCAAAGTCCAACATCCACCAATGACCTTGCAGCATAAGCATCTTAGCAATATTAAAACCTGAAAGTAGAAATCATCCATTGAAGCTGCAAAAAGGCTCATTTAGTCTGCGACGATTATTTTAGCGCTAATGTTGTAATACTTATACTGTTTGGATTGGCCTTTCAGGGAGGAGGCAAGCAGGAAATTCGAACCTGGTAACTGGATCGCCCTCTCCCTTACCTAGTGACTGCGGCTCCCCTCCTTCTTGAATATTGTATTTTCCCTATACATCTTGTCGTCTTTAATAAAGATGTCCAAAGCAAACCAACCGGGCTTGTCTAGGAACGCTAGGAACCGGGACGCGGAGACCGAGGAGTCTCGCTCCACAATATAGTCATCAAAATGCTTTTTTGTAGAAGCACTAGAGCAAAGCGTTGCAAAAGTAATTTCGCCGAAAGTGGAAGACTCAATAATTGAGATAAGTTGCAATATAGGGATATAAACAATACGAAAGTATGATTTTATAAAACTTATAAAATTCGAAAGGCTGCTATTAACAACAAACCTGCAACTAGCCAAATGTTGCGCACATTTAATGTTGTACCGAGTATTAATCTTCATCCAAACTTAGGCAAGTGATGGTTTGCTCAAGTTGGAGTTATAAAGGAGTGAATTTTACAACTTAGGGAAGGGAGACAAACTTCAGTTCCCTTCGGGCATTGTTAACGGCTGATTATCCATATTCACAGACCCAGTAAAGATGTGGCATTCTTAGCTACTCGTCTTAATAATAGTAGTTGAAATCAACATAGACAAGCACCCAAGCAGACAAATCCCCATTATGACTTGCAAATATCAAATTGAAACCTCCAAATTGATAAGGCAGTCAAGACTGACTCTATGAAATGATTGGTTAGTCATTTGTTTTGGAGCCAACAAGCATACACAGTGGCCGTTTATGAATATATGATACACTGTTTCAATAATAGGCCACGAAAATTTAGTTCTGCGTGGGACAAATGGTGTAGGTTTTGCAACTGCTCCGTCATATTCCTGAGGTTAGATTTAACAATCTTAAAGCTTTTAAAAATTCGGTTTGTAACTGGACAGTAACTTAATATTTCTTTATCATCAAAGCATCAGTGTTTTGACTTTATGAATTTTTTCGCCTGCCCTCTTAGATAAACAATTTCGGTTGTTTCAACATTTGAATTAAGAGTTCAATTTGCCTACTACATCCATTTTGAACATACCTGTCTGGGTGGAAAACCTCTTTGCTTTGGGCGGGACATAGGATATTTCGTCAGTGGCGCGATATTTGGGTACGCCGGAGGTGTTGGTGTTCTCGTTGGTCTGCTGCTGGGATTCTTATTTTTAGAAGTCATTCGGCTTCGCAGTTGTTTTTCGTATCACTTTCTTTGTTGCACCCTTTTGCCGTACCATTTTAATTCGTGATTGTCTCACTTTGGTTTTTGAGCCAATTTTTACTTCTTTTGACATTTTCTATTGTAGATTATGGTAATATTCTGAATTATGGCTGCTGATAACGTGACTAGAAGGTATTTATATAAGTGCGCTAATCCTTTTAGACTCCAAATCGAACTAATGGAGCTAATGGTGGTTATTTCTTACTTGACTGATCCATTGCTTTAGACCTCGGAAGAGTCCGGGGTTTCAGGGTTTCCCGAGAATGATAACATCATGAAGTGGTTAGCTACAATCCATGGACCGGAAAAAACTGTATTTCTTCACTCGATTTAACCTAATATTTGGCCATTGTGCGGTCTTGTATTACAGTCTGGTGTTTTAGGTATACGAAGGGGAAGTTTACAAACTCTCCTTGGAGTTCGGAAGCTCGTATCCCTATAAGCCTCCAGTCGTCCGTTTTATATCACGCTGCTTTCATCCAAACGTCGACGCTATTGGCAATATCTGTTTGGACATCCTGAGAGAGGAGTGGTCAGCCCTCTACACTGTGAAGAGTATTCTTCTGTCGATTCGAAGTCTCCTCGGTGGTAAGTTCTTTCGTTCCTAGTGCTTCATCTATCAAATTGAGTGGTTTTAGCTGTTGATTTCATTTGAGTATCTTTTATTATACTGATTCCCTATCCCTATTTGTGACTCTAAAGCTTTACTCTCATCGTCCTACAGTTGTTAGTGTTTGGAGTAATTAACTTATGCAATGAGGTTTTGGGTGCCAATTCGGGCATTTTTTGTTCGTTGGTTCTTTTTTAAATATGGTGAGTCGTTCATTTCTTGTGATATTGTCCAGCGTACATTTAGAACTTCAAGGATGACACATTGTTGGGTACTAAGGTCTGGGTTTATGGTATCACGGAGTGAATACTACGCCAAACCAGACCCTTCTGTTCAGCCTATCTGGTAAAAGTTAAAGAAAGCGTCAAATCAGGGATCGGGTCGCTTTCACTGATGAAGTATAACCGTGCCACTTGCTTTCCTTATCCTGACAATTTGCAATATCTGCTATTTTTCTCAGTTCTACTGCACCGCTTTCTTTGTGTCCTTTTTCACACAGAGCCAAATAACAGGAGTCCGATGAACAACCTAGCAGCAGCGCTCTGGTCAGATCCAGAGAAGTTTCGAAAGGCTCTAATCGAGTACCAATCTGGTAACCTCGAGCATTAACGCACACATGTAATTTCTAGTCCTTACTGGTCCCTCCGGCACCGCTAGTCATCTCTTCATTGTGCAAATTCATTCCGTGAAGCTCTATTTATAAACTCCTCTGTCCCGTCTGTTTATTCCCTTTTCATTCTTGGGTACGTGTCTGACCCGACAGGTTATCCTGGTCCTAGTCCTAATTCCTCATTTTGCGGTCTCATGAGTCACCAGGGCTCTGGCAGGTAATGCTGATCGGCCTCATGCCTATTGATGGCAAGCTTGCCTGTCGCGATAGTGGACCATCTGTATGGTTTTTCAAATGTGCTAGTCTTATTTAGGCGGGCCAATTGATTCTTTCGCCCTGCTTTTTGTATGATAGAGGTAAAATAGAATCAATGGGTTTTAGCACGGGTTGGCCCTGTGATTTCTAGTTAGCGAGAGTCGTTGACTGCATCCGATGTCTTCACCATTACCTCGAGGTAGTATTAAAATGTGGATACTCTCTAGACGATAGCGCTTCGTCGTTCTTGAGGAAGGCTAAAGATCCTGATACGATCTGTGAATGAGTCTTCGGATGTGGAAGGGTACGACAACGCCATGAGGACCACCAGTTGTCTGCATAGGGATAGTTGATATTTGGACGAACTAAAGGAGCGCGAGGATAGGCTCCCCTCGGGTTCCCTACTACTAAATATGGGTGATATTGGTACTCATGTCAAACATTAAACATAAAACATCGAAATAAGTATTTTGATGCCTGTTCTGAGCAACGGTAAGCATTGAAGCTTCGTGAGTTCTGGTTGATTCGGTCGATGTCGACCGTTACCCTTTACAGAGAGGAGCTGAACTTAGCTTTATTAACTACTCATTCGTGTTGGATGGAGCTTGCATCGACATGCTTTCGTACCTTCAAGGGCTGGGTCAATAAGGAAGTTGTTGGAAATTTCAAGCATGGGAGGGTAACGAGGATGGCTTTCCTTGATTACAGCATCTCCACCCTAGGTGTCGTCGATCCTACTCGTCATTTACATTTTGTCTCAAGCGATGCTCTCAGTAACGCACTCACTTCGACTTCCATTTCAACGGGTTACGTTAACCTCCTCAGAAAGGCTAGCTTGCACGTTGCCACGTGTCAACATCGCGCTCGCTTCGTTTCGGCTCTGCAGACAAAATATGCATGTTAGCGAAAGTATCGGATTCACAAACCATCCACGGAGTGTGACATGACCCTAGACCACGGCTCTTTTTAACAGCATCATGACTGGGTGGTATGGTTACTCAATTTTGACATCCCCCATCACTGCTGCTCAACACTTTATTTTACATTGAGTGATGTAAATTGTAACAGTTTTTGTCCATGGCGCACAATCGGTAAAATACACGCGACTAGGTGGCAGGGCGTTAATCGGGCCAATAGAAAATTTCAACAGGCGACTTTTGTTACTCTCGTCTTTACTTGTCTCAAAAATAGCATTGAGAATCTTTTGTTAACAATAGCTTATCAGACACAGCTTATCATTAAATATGAGTAGGAGATAAATGAAGGGAATGGAAGAGCAACCTTTATTACTGCACCTGCTCAAGTAGAAGTAGGTATTATGTCTCAGACTGCGATGGAAAGATAACTTTCGACGATGGAAGTCGCGGTGACGCGGTGGTTGGATGATTTGGATGCAGACTACACAGTAAAGATAGACAACATTGATGAAGCGTGGAATGCTAAAACATTGTTGAAGTGATTGGTGGGCCCTATTTGTTCTGAAACAAAACGGAAAAAGGGTCAGGTTATTACATAAAATGCAAAAACGTCATAGGGCTTACAGGAAATTTAGTATATTACTTAGTCAGTTAAAGTACCATTAAAATTCATATCAAATCTGGTACCGTAAGCAAATGGGAGTCGATTCAACCTGGTTTTGCGAAATCACCTTCTGTACAATTAAGCGATTAGATTTTACCATCATATTGAAGCGGTTGATAATAAGTCGAGGTGCGGCAGCAGTGCGAAATATTTCATAGTCCAGGAGGTGAAATTCCCTGCGCTGTAGGTGTTTAGTGTACACAACGGGAGGTTTACGTTAATGCAAAGCATTTACAAAGGATTACTAAAATAAGTGGTGCATACGTCCTTTTATCGGAGTCGTAACTGGTGTACGAACCGATTTCACAGCCTTAAAATGCCGGACTGTATGAAAATCGAAGAAAGACACTGCAAGCTCCTTCGACTTTTGACCTATCTTTTTTGGTTGACTTTGAGAAGTGAAGGGCCCTTTTGGAAGAGCAGCATTGAAGTGCTACCTTGAAATCGGTTAAAGAACCAAACTATACAAAGTTTGCTTTAGTTCAAACAAGCTTAATTTTGAATAGGCTGGTGTTATAACCAGGTGTCAGACATTCCAGGAACTAAGAGGTGGTTTACAAAGCAAATCTTGCATTTCGAATTTGCATTCAAATTCGCCTAAAAGGACCTTAAAAAAAACCAATTCTTTGCTTACCCGCAAACTCTTGGCAATGACTATGAAGCGTATTATCACTAGGTGAGTTTACCGGAAAAAAATTCAAGTACCCTACGTGAAGCCAATTAAACAGGTTACTGAACAATACTGAAATAATAACGATTAATCATTAAAATCACGAGGCGGTAAAACTTCACAATTTTTCAATGGCAGTGACTGCAGAATAAATAAGACATCAACCCCTTAATCACGTGACTGAAACTGTCATCTCACGAACGCTCGAGTCGTGGTACAGCATACCCTATTTGCAGTTCAAGAACACTATTTGCGCAGGAAATCAGGACATATAGACGCACCTTTGCCGAGCTGCTGCCCCAGTTGGACGAACTGCCGCCCAAACTCGAGGCAAGACTGGCCAGAGTGGTGTCCAGTTGGTCCAGTGGGTTCTCTTTCCTCTTAAGCGCCTCTTTTTCTACCACCGCCGGCCGAATCACTACATCCGCTGGTGCCGGCTTCAAGCCTACGGTTAAGAAGATGGAACAAAATTAGGCCAAGGAATGGAAAAGGTCTAGAACACGTCATGATCTGGTATCTGTATCGTAAGTGTAAGTCTGCAGAAGTCCATTCACAATTACTGGAATAATGGGCTAGAACGGCAGGGTGAATAAGATCCTTTTTTTCCCCAACTCAATCTTCCTGCTTAAAATCGTAGGTCACGCTTTAAATTCAACTCCGCAAAAATTCTGCATTGCCTATGACGTGTTTGAAGGTACATGACCGCATTTAAGAGTTGACGCAATAATTTCTTTTTATTTATGTATCATCCCTGACAAGAATTATGGGACTCGCTTCCCATATATAAAGGAGAAATTTCGGTTTTCCTGAAGCACCAAATTCTTACAGCCAACATCGAGTGATGCTTATCTTGGTGAACGAAAAAGGCAAAACGTGGGATGAATGGCACGCCACAGTCTAGTATTTTCACACTGATTTCCTTGATTACCTTCTCAAGAGCTGGTAATGCAATGTTTTGAAGTAGTTTATTTGGTGTTCAGCTTTAAATTCAGTTGATTTATCTTTTTAAGCAATCTTCATCAAAGTTCTGTTCAGCTCCTAGTTGTTCGAAGGCATAAAGGCTTTGATTTGTACGGCCTCAATATCCCTCGAACTAGTTATTCGTCGTTTGAAAGCCATCTGAGGAAAAATGTGCCTAAGTATTGAGTGCCCGATCAGCCTAAACACCAAAAGTGCCCAATCCAACATCACCAGCATTGCACTTGACGAGAGACATGCAGTGATACAGTTCGGTTAATCAACTGCAAAATAGTTACTGGTACAACTGGACTAAGTAGCGAATACGGGGGCTTATGATTAACCAACAGATAAAAATGGACAGAGAAAGGAGCTCCTCGATACGAAAAGTTCGATCATGAGTACTCTCCACAAACTTACCAAAAAAGCAGAACAAGTGGTTGGAAAATCAATCTACCACTAACTCCGGCTAATGAAAACCAGCGTCAGATTTGCCAGCATTTAAAACCACGTATAAACAACGAAAAAAATTTGCTTCTCAATGAGCAGCATAAACCTTCTACTCGACACCGATAATTTTGCGCTAATGAGAATTTCGTGAAAGCCTCGACTGATTTCACTAAATTCATCTGAAATACGATGAAACAAACTTCCAATTTTAAATGTAATGTTTCTCATTTTGCGGCCCGAAAAAATTTACCACTACATATTGGTTTTGTCTGACTCCAAGCTGGAGCACAGACCCCAACTATTAAAGTAAGTACATGGTATCAAAGCATTATTCTGTCAGAAGGTTAAAGATTGGTCATCCTTCTGCTGAACACAATCGAAATCAAGCCGGAATATAATCGAGATAATCGTTTTCCAACAATAAAAACCAAAGTATATATATTCCAAATGATTTTTTTTCGGAATAAACCGGAATTTAGACTTCTCGAGGTTGCTTGCACATACGATTTTTGTAACATTCCAAGGCGCATTTAAATCTGAATAGTAAATAAGTGATTAAGGAATACTATAGGTAGAAGTACATTAAAAAGCATTTACCAAGATCCCGCTTCTAATTTGTGTTAATGTAGTAATTTGATATTTCGTTTGACTGCATGTCTACGGTCACTTCAGTACCCGTAGGTTGCATTTCCACTCTGCGGCATGACCATTCTAATAGTCTTGCATCCCTTCTGTACATTAATGTCGACTATACTTCCATACTACCCTGGCTTATTACAATTTTAGGGAAGAGTCGGAGCGCTATGCCGATGGTATCACATCAGAGGTGAAATAAACACTTGCCTGCAAGCACCTACCGAAAAGTCCGTAATTACAAATCAGATTTGTTATTTGAAAGGAACACATTTACAAAAATACAGCAAAATTTTGGTACAAACATCATTCCCATTAAAATTACTACGGAAGTCCCTCGAAATCGTATTTATTAAATTTATCTAAATAAAGGAGTTAAGAATTGAAAAAGCAACAATGTATAGTACGAAACTGCACTATTTCTCGGATCCGATCAGTAAAAATGTGTGATAG